AAAGTGGAGTCATAGTCTCAGACTTTTCTGACCATTTTCCAGTTTATGCAATAGTAGAAAATTTAAAACTGCTATCAATGATGACCAAATTTTATGTAGAAAAATTAATAAAACATCCATTTTCTTTATTAAAAAAGCCCTCTCACTTCAAAATTGGCATTCAGTTAAAAACGAGAATAATATAGATACAGCATGCCTGAATTTCTACAATATACTCAATAAAACTCTTGACACATACGCACCTCTGCAGTGGCAGAAACAAAAATATAAAAAAGCATGGGTATCTGATGAAATAATAAAATTATCAAAAAAACAGAATCGACTGTATAAAATAGCAGTCGCTGCACCAAACTCCGCTAATGTTGAAAAATATAAAAAGTTTAGAAATTACTTTACATCAGTAAAGAGAAAGGCAGAAAAAAATTATTTTCAACAAAAATTTGAAGAGGCGAAGAGTTGCTCCAAACAAAAATGGGAAATAATAAACGGTATAATGAATAGAAAACAAAACAATCTTGAAATTAATAAGCTAAAAGTTGACGACAAAATCATCGAAGACCCAGAAGAAATAAGTATTCTTTTCAATGAATACTTCATCAATGTCACAGAGAAGCTGATAGAAAATCAAATAGTTACTGAAGATAAATTAAAAATAAATAGTGCAATCTGTAAATCAATGTATATGAACTCCACCAATGAAGAAGAAGTAACGTACATTGTTCAAAACTTAAGCAACAAAAAAAGCACGTCAGATGATACTTTAAGTAACAATCTACTTAAAAAAATCATCCCAGAAATTGTCATCCCAATCACTCATATTTACAATCTTTCCATCGTCCAAGGAATATTTCCACAATGCTTCANAACATCCAGAGTAGTTCCAATTCACAAAAAGGGGAGCAAATTAGAGACAAGTAATTATCGACCAATATCTCTACTTTCTCCACTTTCCAAAGTACTAGAAAAAATAATTTTTGTCAGAGTCACCTCATTTCTGTCCAT